TTGGAGAACGTTCACACGCAGAAAGAAATCGTGCATTCTGCAGTCGTCCATTTAGTCGAATGATACCATCTTCATCAATGACTGGGTTAAACTGGAGAAGTTTGCTCTTCATGCTGATCGGCTTATTCGTGCGAAGACAAGAAAGTTCATTATTAAAATGTGTGTGTTGAACGTACCTGAGCCACAGCTTCAATGCTTCTGTTCGTTCTCCTGCAGAACACCATGGAGTCGTTTCGTGGGTTTTTTTCATCACCGCCGCTATGAACCGTTGCATAAACGCGGTAACTGCTAACAATTTGTTAAGGTCTGAGTACTTAGAAAGGAGCGTGGCCAGAACCGACGGAGGTTGATGTGATGGCATTGTAGCCAACGACACCACAGTTGCTTCAGTCCTGGCTGGCCCGATGGAAGGTTGTGTGGGCTATTGATGAGAGTGACAACGAAGCCATTGCAGTCCGTCCCACCAAATAGAAAGCTCCTTAAGTTGCGATGGCATAAATCCCCGAGATGCTGCGTCCGCAGGGTTACTGGCGGTTGGTACATATTTCCAAGAGTCAACAGATGTGATTGCCTGGATTTTACTTATGCGATTACTGACATATTGTTTGTATTTTCCAGGATTTGATCGGATCCAGCTGAGAACTGTTTTTGAATCAGACCAACAGTATGTTTGAAGGTATGGTAGTTGAAGTGTTTCCGAAAGCTTGGTCGCAAGCTGGGCTGCCAGCAGAGCTCCATTTAGTTCCAAACAGGGAATTGTTATTTTCTTCAAGGGGGCGATTTTTGTCTTCGCAGCCAAAATGGCAACATGTACGTTTCTCGGCGCTGTGTCGAACCTGAGATATGCTACCGCAGCATATGCTATGGCGGACGCATCGGAAAAGACATGCAGTTGGTAACCTCTAGAGTTAGGTTCTACACCGAGCCACCTTGGAATTCTAAGACGCTCAACTTCACCTAGCTCCTTTCGAAACCGTTGCCATTCTTGCTGAAGTGGTTCGGGAATTGGGTCATCCCAGTTTAAACCGGCCACCCACAACTTCTGACACATAGCTTTTCCAGTTACAGTTATCGGCGCTAGTAACCCTGGAGGATCGTAAATTTTACCGATGTCTGATAATTGCTGCCGTTTGGTGATTTGGGTTGTTAATGGACTCAAGCTAACCTTATATGTCAAAGAGTCTGAATCACAGAGCCAATAAATGCCAAGAGCTTTAGTTGTACGGTCCAGGTTGAGGTTGCAACAAATAGTATTCTCTTTGTCATCTGCACTTAACCGCTGCATGAAGTCTACAGCGTTTGAGCTCCACTTTCGTAGGACGAAACCACCTCTTTGGAGTAACTGTCGCAGTTGGTACTGGATTTCCAAAGCAGCATCGACGGAGTCAGCTCCATGCAAACAGTCGTCTACGTAAAATGATTCTCGCAAGACCTTAGACGCCTCAGGATAAGTTGACTCTTCATCATCAGCTAATGTTTGCAGCACTTTAATTGCAAGATATGGTGAGCAATTTAAACCGTACGTGACTGTTAGCAATCGATAGGCTGCTGGCTCTCCTTCTGTACCTCTCCATATAATACGCTGCATGTCAGCGTAATCACGGCTGACCAGAATCTGCCGATAACACTTTTCTATATCTGCCATGAAACCAATGCGGTGAAGCCGCCATCGAATAATTATTTGGCTTAAATCGCTTTGCAGTTTTGGGCCAACATGAAGACAGTCGTTTAGTGAGATGTTTTCTATAGTTTTACGGGATGCATTGAAAACTGTGCGCAATTTGGTGGTTGAGCTCGATTCCTTGTACACCCCATGATGCGGAATATAGCAAACAGTTCTCGGCTCCTCGTTTTCAATTACCTTCTCCATGTGCCCTAAAGCCAGGTACTCTGTCATGAACGTGGTGTACAAATGATCCATTTCAGGGTCATTTCGAAGCCTAGCTTGTTGAGACCGAAACAATTTAAT